GATTTAGTTTTTCAAATACTTGTTATGTTACTCACAAAACACTTTGAATATTTACAACATAACAAATATTTGAAAAACTAAATCAAATTATAAACATTTTTAGAGTCAAAGTGTTTTGTGAGATATTTTATTGAAAAAAAAAGGAGAAAAAAGGTACTTTTGTCTTAGAATCTAAATTTTTGTTGTTGGTGGTGAGAATTTCACCTTTTATATATATATCCAGGCAACTTAAAATCATTCATTTTGATTAATATATTTTTTTTTGTTGACAGCAGTAGTCACTACTTTTGGTCATAAAAACTCCACATAAACTGACAAATATTTATTAGTGAACTAAGATTGGACCTTTCAAAATGGCATAAAGCAGGCTAGGTAACAATATTTTTACTAATAATATTATTGGTCAAATTCCACTTATATGTACTAAATATACTTTATTTTTAATAAGTTCTTCTACATGTGTGTGTGTGGCTTGAAACCAATAAACTTAAAAAGATAAATAAATAAATACAAATTTGAATCACATTTGATTCACCAGAATATTTTACTTTACTACGTAAAAGGATTTACTTAATGTCTTGTTACAGAAGAAATTGCTGTATCTTTCAAACAAATCAAACATGAAAACATTTGTAGAACAAAAAGAATTCCTAAAGATACTATGAAAACAAATTCCCACATTTAAGTCTTCTAAACTTTCCACCAAATTCAGTTGTTCTCTGTGGGAGCTAAGTTGGTTTGTCACTTTTGAACAAACCACTTTATTCATTTTAGCTAATGTAAACAGTTTATAACCTGCTCTATCCAATGGTATTTAAACTTTTCAAAGCAGAGCTTCATTAGTTTGCGAGATGACACGCTGTGATATCATAAAATAAATATAATTTGTACCTTATAAAATCTGAAAAAGGAAGAAAAATCATGTGAGAAATGAGATTTACAGTAATTGAATTCTCACAAGATGATAGTTCCTTAGCAAATATAAGCCTATGTTTTGGGATGGACAGAAAAATATTCAAACATTGATAAAGGCATTGTTTACAAGCAAGTCTTCTCAGAGATGTAATGAAATATAAGCTTGAATATTATTTTAATTTTTCTTTGCAAATTACACTAAACAAATGTTAGAAAAAGATAAATTAACAATTCTTAAATGGTACTATTAATCTAAATAAAATAACACCTTGTATCTCCCGAATATATCTTTGCAAGCTCAATATTTTATTACAGCTTTTTAAGGAACTATTAATAACCTACAAGTACAAGTTCACTAATCCAGTTGAAACCAAGTAAGAACACTGTTGTCAGTTGTTTGAACAATGATACAGATGTATAAAAGGTTCAGATCATATTCAAAATAATATCAAACATTCCAAAAATGTCAAATAAACAATATATTTAAATCAATAGGTGAACTATTAAATCCTAGAATTTTGAAAAGAATACATTACATATATGAAATACATCTTCTCAGTTAGAACTGTAAGTAGGGTTACATATATCTGTATTCTTCCATTATATCTGAACTTGTATTTTTATTTAAATTTTGAAATTTGATATGCAGTTGTGCACTCAATACCTGATACATTCTCACCATGCAGGAATGAGTTAAAGTGAAATAACCTTTATTTCTAATGCTCTCTTTTAACTGAATGTGAGTAAAGGAACATACTTCAAAGCACTACTGGCAATATTTCATAGCAAAAAACTTGAATCTTACATAAAATCATGATTTTATATTTTCAAAACGTAAATTAAGTCAAGCAATCAAATACTATTAAGTCCAATGATCGTGTCAACATATATAAAATGACTTTCACACAGATTGATCCTAAGTTAGATACATTTGAGTAAGAAATGAAAAAAATAGAACTCAGATCTATTTATTTATTATTATTATAGCACTTTAATGGATATTTCTTAAGTTATTATTGATTTTAATACTTTTATCTTTCAAAACACACTACACAAAATATTAAAACCAAGCTAAAGCTAAATTATACTTACTCTGAAATTGTATAAAGCTGTAACATACAAGTAAGATAATAAAAATTTAATATCTAATTTATTTGATGTAATTATATAATAGTATATAGTCAACAACACATTATTTTATATTGAAGAAAGTATTTTAAAGGATAAGAAAAATCATACAAGCTTTGCAAGTGAATACAATTGGATACTTTGCACAATAAAAAGCATTGAAAACTAAAGATTATTTATGTGAAATTACATAACTTTCATTAATTTAAGGCTAGTTTGTATCTCAAACTTTTAAACATATATATATATATATATATGAGAGCCTATGACAAACAAAAGTACACTGAACAATGTGGAAATATTTCCTTGTTAAATGTAAAGTTGCCTCTTGAAATCTCACTCTAATCTAACATTTTAGAACATTGAGGTCTAGCTGTTTGATCAAAGTTATAAAATTATAAACGTACATTACAAGTTTTAAACAACAACCAGTGAAAAACATTTCAATTATTTATGAATGTTATTGTGAGTAATATCCACAGCAACATTTTAAACAGTTATTTTTGTAGGTAGTGGAAGCATAATATAGGTCTTACCATACTCAATACCATCATATCGAGCAAAGTTTGAAGCCACTTCACAACAATTGAGCACTGAGTAACAAGATATAGAATACTGTGTATGAGGCATAGAAACATTTGTGACCTTGGCTCCTCCTCTCTCCAAAAGGTCAGCAATCTCCTTCCACGTTTCTACTACTTCTGAGCTCATGCCTGGACAATAATATTCCTGAAACATAACACCAATAGGATTAAAAACAAAACTTCAGTTTTGTGTACAAAACAATTTCCCTTCCACTGTTGTTAATAAAGAAATTGCTTCTTTTGAAAATAAGCCACAAATTGACAAAGAAAATTATTCTTCCAAACATATCCCTGCTTCTTGTGTTTTATTGTTCTTCCTAAACTTATTTCATGCTATCAAAAAAAATCTGGTTAAAAACAGCCAGAAAGCATAAAACTGACATTAAAGTACAATTTACATTTTTACCTGAAAAAAAGTTAGGTCAATTGCTATCTAAAAAGTATTATAGGGATAATGATACTTCAGAAAATTCAGAGAATGTACAGATTGCAAAAGCTGTTATACTGGTAAGACAAACAGACAACTTTCAATTTGTTTGCAGGAACATTTAAAATCTCCATCTCATGTTTTTGGACACGTCATTTTTTTATTCTTCTCAGGTAAAAATCCTCAGCACAGATGACAACGTTAACAGATGAAAAATAATAGAAGCCCTATTAATAAAAAAAATATAACATGCACATTTTAAAAACATAGTTCTTTCTAATATTAAATAAAATTTCATATTGTTTTTTTATCTACCTAATCATATTTGTAATTATATATACTCACTTAATAAGACAATTTTTCTCTCATAATTTTGTCATGACAGAAATAAAGAACTGTAAAATGAAACTGGGGTTTAATGCCACACACCATCAACCTAGAATTTATTAACTGTTACAACTTACCAACCTTAAAGTTACTACACTTATATAATTAAGGTTATTTAGAAATTGCACATATTATACAGATGAGTATTATTTCCCAGCAAGTGGAATTATAATTCAGAAACTTGTAGAAACAAAATTCATGGATTCCATACCATAAAGCAACAATCTGTTTGCAAGAGTTTGAGAAAATGTTATACATACCAAAATTGACAAACATAAATCAGCTAGATGTTTGAACTTTATGTTGTAATGAAGGTTTGAGCTAAAAATTCTACATAATTTTAAACAGACTCACACAATATTAAACTTTTAATAAAGTTGATATCTTTAAAGATAAACATAGTTTTATTCTAACTCTATAAAACAGGAGACACAAATGTTAAAATGGTTTTAAAATACTTACAATTTAGATAATAAATATAAATATTGTGTTACAAATAAATAATCTTTCAAGTATCATAAGAAAATAGAAATTTTGTGAAAAAAATCTAATAATTGAAGAGCATGTGATGTTTTAATATGTTAATTATGAAAAAATGCAAAAAACGAAATTTTACTTAGAAAAAGTATCATTAACAAATAAAAAATGTATTTAATACAAGAAATAAATGAAAGAAAAGAATTATACACCCTATATATAATGGTGTACACTGCAGATAGTCTTTGTAACTTTCTGCTGTAAAACATCCATGCAACAACATTCACCATCTAAATAAATTATTTCTTTGTTCTTTAGCACAAAGCTACACAATGGACTATCTCTTCACCACAAGGAAGAGAACCCCTGATTTTTCAATTGTAACTTGTATACTTATTGCTGACCCACAAGGGGACAATAACTAGAGATATCAAAATATGTAATAATCTAAAAATAATGTTTGAACATTGAAATAAACACAAGCAAAAAATAAAATAAAAATAGAGATATGTTACACAGAGCAACAAACCTGAAAACATTAATTTCTCCTACAATGTGAATATGTTAACCAGTTAATAGTATGTTGCGGAAACCAAGAGAGAATGAACCAAAAATATATTGTTATACCCACATTTTATCTAACTGTTTACTCAAATACATTATCTTCTCCTTTAAGTTTCACAGGATATTTTTAATCTTACCTCAGGCATTGCAACATGAACACCAGAAATGTTAGGTTCCTCTGAGATCTTCACAGGACAAAAGGGATCTAATACAGTTGTAGAGTCCTTTGGGTCATGGCCAGCTAATACATCTGAGCAAAAAAAATCACATGGTGAAACAAAAATCAATCAATTGTATATATATGTTATAGTATTATTATTATAATATGAAATTTCTCTGAGTTACCACTACTGACAAAATACAGCTTCATTAATTTTTTCTTCATCACTTCTAGAATTGATTTGAACAATCACTAAATATTTGCCATTATATTTAAATTCAGTTAAAACACTGTTTTGTATGTGAATACATAAAATAATCGAGTTTTATTTATAAAATGGTTATTTTTCATAGCATATAACACCTAGTATTAAGTATTTTGTATATTATAGTTGAACTAACTTAAAAGAAGACTAGCATCATCAACAGTTTTTGTTAGAATTCCTGGTACATCCAAAGAATTGACCAATGGAATCAAACCGTATCGAGACAGAAGACCATAAGTAGGTTTTAGTCCAACGATGCCACAACGAGCTGCAGGATTTCTTGTGGAACCTCCTGTATCTGATCCTAATGCTCTACAATGCAACAGTAAAATATTTTTAGAAGGTCAACACATAATTCTACAACATTAATTTCACAGATTTATAAAGATTAAAAAAAGACAAGAAAATAAACTAAAAGTATTTATATTGATCAATAAAAAAAAACAGCATATTTTCTTAATAATGGTACCATTCACTATAAAAATTAGTGAATAATTATATCTCTGAGACTTAAAGTTAACCAACATACACTTCAGGGTCAAAGTGCACCTGCCATGACCTTTCACAGAGTCACATTCGAAATTTAATTAAACAACTCTATTATGAATGTATGCCAGTTTGGCATCAAAACATAGTTTATAACTTGAATTTTAATATGACAAAAGTTTTAATATCTTAATTCTAACAGGAAATATTAAAAATATTCTCAGTTTTCACTTCTCTGCATCACATAACACAAATTGCCCATTTATGATTTTCTTTCTACCCTTATATGAACTTCTGAATGTCAACTAATTAGAAACATAAACTATAGCTCTTAACAAGACAGGATTTAAATTTTGAACCTTCAGTCTTCATGATTTAGTGAGATATGAAAAGAATTTCAAGTTTACATGAAATGCCCCTTCCACCATTGTTTTTCCTGTGGTTGATAGATTTCATGTGCTTTTGAAGAAGCAATTCACCACATTTCCAATATAAAATTATTTTGTGCATACTTTGCATCTCACACATTAAACATTCTGTGAGTATTCTAGCAGCAAACTGTCATAAGTGTTTATACCCATCCACGATAAAATGAGCTTGGATTTCTTTGGTATACTTTGACTAACACCTGAGATTGAAAAAACATTTATTTAAGGAAAAGAAAGACAAGAAAACAAGTCCTTAAAAGAAATATTAATGATCGTACTTGTGAAGCCTATAAGGACAAGTTTTTACAAATGTATAGCTTTGATGACAAAAAGATACTAAAAGAAAAGACAAATATGATCAAACTAGGTAATCACATTAATTCTGAGCTTATTAAGAAAAAATTGGGTAGTTTGAAGAATGATAAAGTCTCCTGAACCAGATAATATTTCCTCAAGTTAAGAATTATATTAAGAATTAGTTTCTTAATCTTGGGTAGGATCCTAAGGATTGGAAGTTTGCTATTGTTACTCCTCTTTTCAAGAAAGGTTATGATAAAATCTGTCCTGGTAATCATATACCTATTAGTCTTACATCAGTGGAGGGAAAGTTTTTGAAAGTTTGATGAAAGATGCTTTGCAAAGTCATTTACCCAAGTTTAAAATTTTGTTGAATAATCAACATGGTTTCACTAAGGGAAAATTTTGCCTCGGTTATCTTTTAATTCTTTGAAGAGTTTACAGCTTATGTAGATAAGACTGAATGAGTGGATTTGATCTATTTGGATTTTCAGAAAGCATATGACAAGGTGCCATATAAAATGCTTGTTACAAAAAATGACCTCTCTTGGTTTGGGAGATAAGTTGGCTCATTAGATAGAAAAGTGACTAAATGGAAGAAAGAGAGGTGTTATACATGTAGTTCAGTCAAACTGATTAATGTTACAAGTGGAGTATCTCAGGAATCAGTGTCAGGAACTTTGATCTTTTTGATTTATATCAGTGACATAAATGAAGGAATGGCCAATAACTTACCTACATATGCTGATGATACTAAAATCTTGGGTATTTATTGGCTGTGAAAAAGATGCTGCTGCTTTACAAAAGGACTAGATCATTTAGTGAACTGAACAAATAAATGGCAGAAGGCCTTTAATTGTAGTAAGTGCAAGGTAATGTATGTGGGCTATAATTTCAATAATAAGTATAATTTTTGATAGGGATCATCTTAACAGTATTAAGAAAGAAAATAATCTTGGTGTGTCACTATAGTAATGTTTATTATAGTTTAGAATTTACAAAATGTATCATCACAAAATTTGGCAAACTTTTAGTAAACATTGTAAGGCTGTTGTATATAAAAAATCAGTATTTTAATAAAGTATTTCTACTAAAGCTTTGTCTGTGAATTTACTAAGCCTTTACTGAGTCAATTTGAGTAAAAGGTAATTTTCATGATAAAAATACTTGACATTTTGGAAAGGGTTCACAGGAGGGCTACTATGATGATACCTGAGATGGTGAAGTTGTCATACAATGAGAGGTTAAGATTTCTGGAATTGTTTTCTCTTGAAAACAGATGAGTTAGAAGAAATCTGATTGGAGTGTTTAAGATCGTTAAGGGAACTGATAGTCAGTGTAACATTTTTTCTCAGTACTTAATAGTGAGAACAGTAGGACTAAGGGACAAAAATACAAATTTTGGTATGATAGGTGTCACCTTCAATTAAGACAGTTTTACTTTTCTAACATGGCAGTTGGCTTTTTATATATATACATACATAAACACACACACACACAAACAAACAAATTTTATGTTATCTACATATATCAAAGTGAAATATGTTGTTTCTCCATTAACTCCTCACACAATATTTATCCAATTTTCACCAAACTTTCTAAACATTAGGAAATTCTACTGTAAAATAAATCTTGAAAGATCATGAAACTTTATTGTGAGAGAACCATTTTTCTAGGTTACTTTTGCTAATGATCAAATATATCTCTCTTTTTCAATATGAAGCTGAATGTGTGGCTCACTTTACTGTGGTGTTTACAGGTTCATGTATAAATTATAATCATGATGAAGGAGCACATCCATAGAGCTTCCACCCCTAAAGTACCAGAAAAGATTCTTCATATAACCCTTCAATTCCCTGATAAAACAAACAAACTTTATTATGCAGTGTTTATCACAAGTATAACCCCAATGATACTTAAATTTTAAGGTTTACGTTAAATCTATCTTTACAGTAAGGAATTATTTTGTGTTTAAACACAGAATGGGTAAGACAAATCACTCAAACTTCATCTACATGTATCAATGCTCTGGGTTTTAAAACGTCCCAGTCTTGGAGTAGTTTGGCATTTGGCAAAGTGCATGGAAGTGTTGGTGAGTGCTTAGCATGTTTTAAATTTGACTGATATTCCATTAATAATCATGTAGTTGAAAATTATTAAACTATTGAAAATGACTGTTTTAGGAATCAAAGAGACTTTGATAATTCAAAACATTTATTTGAAATATAATACAGTAAACTACAGTTGTGCTATTTTTAAAGTGTAACTGTAACGAACATTGTACATTTAAAAAGTACTCATTATTTGTTTGAAACAAGTGTATCTGATGAACTGATGCTCCTTACTTAATTATACAGATCATTTCTCTAGCAGGAAATAGTGCAGGCAGCTTATATAAAGAAGTGATCACTTCTCTAGCAGGGAACTGATATAAAGAACTGATCACTTCCTTTGGTATAACATTCAATGTAAATGACTTTAAGCTCTCATTAATATGTATGCTTAACCTTTATAGTGCCAAGAAAAGCCACATCAAAATATATTTTAAACAAATAGTTCAGAGGCTGCAAGAAAAGCAGAGAGAAGAAATAAATCACAGGAAGAAAGAGTAGCAAAGCTAAAAGCTGCATGAGTTAGAAGAGCTAAAATACATGCACAAGAATCTGATGAATTATGAAATGAAAGACTTGAAGGAATGAAGGAGGCAACTGTAGTAAGAAGTTTGAGTGAAACTGAAGAGGAAAGATAGGGAAGAAGGCAAGGATTACATTTCATAGCAAATCACTATGATTCTCAATTCGATTATGAGTCCCAAACAATCTAGGATATCGGTGGTACGATCACAGTTTGTGAACACTGTATGGCAAAGAAATGGTCTGGTGAAACTCCTTCAATGTGTTGTTCTGTTGGTAAAGTTTACTTGCTTCCTTTTGACATCCCATAAAGATTTAATAAAGAATCTCAACAGTTTTTAAACAAAATTAGGTAGTATAACAACTATTTTCAAACAACTTCCTTTGGGGATATAAACATTTATGAACAAGGCTACATGCCTACATTCAAAATACAGGGTAAGTCTACCATAGTATTGGTTCATTACAACTTTTTCCCAATGATTTTGCTTGTTATGAATTTCGTGCACAGCTATATGAGGCTATCTATGCTAGCCATCCCTAATTTAGCAGTGTAAGACTAGAGGGAAGGCAGCTAGTCATCACCACCCACCGCCAACTCTTTTACCAACGAATAGTGGGATTGAGCGTCACATTATAATGCCACATGGCTGAAAGGGCGAGCATGTTTGGTGTGATAGAGATTCGAACCCGTAACCCACAGATTGCGAATTGAGCACCCTAACCACCTGGCCTCTTCCCAATGAATCAAACAAACTTTTACAAATTTATTTCAAGGGAAACTCATCAGAAGAGGCTAGACTAAGAGAAAGGAATATTCCAGAAGTTAAAACAAATTTATTTTTAGTCTTGCAAGAAATGTTACACCCACACAATCCCTACATCAAAAGCTTCAAATCAGCTACATAAAAACTTGGATCAGAAGATTTGAAAATTGTTATTCATGCTGATAAAAACCTTCAGCAGAATATCATCATCAGTTTAATTCTCTAGTTTTTGATAAGTGGCAATACTGATGGTTGGAGAGGAGTATGGAAGAAGAGATATTGTACTTGAGCAAAGGGATAACAGCTTAAAAATAGTAGTTGACACTAATAGGACATTACTACTTTGAAAAGGAGAATATGGTTATCACTTCACAGTTTGTCAAAGAAATCCTCACACTTGACGTTTTATGGTGAACAAAAAAATACTGCAAAAGATTTCTATTTATACAGGTTCATGTTTAGGGAAAATGAGTTTAACATTATTTTGAAGCCAATGGACCTTTTTCATCAATATGCTGTTGGTATGTATGCAAAAATTGAGTCAGAGAAATTGTTATTTGTAAGAAATAATCAGAAGAAATTGAGAGCAGAAAATTATCTAGAGATGCTGAGAGAATATGGAAATAACAAAAATGTTGGACAGCTGGTGATTTTAACTTCACGTTTTACAGGAGGCCCCAGATATATGCATGAATGTACAC